AAAAACTAATCTTCAAAAGATACATACTTCTTGGTCAAGTGCCTGTTAAAGACAGAACATATAGTCTTAGTATAATAAGAGCCGCAATTCTTGCATTATGTATGACCGTAGATAGGATAAGGGCGATTGAGTCCTAAAAATATAGGCCCTTGCAGAGAAATAAGCGACATTCTGTATTCTTACTAAAAGGGATCTCGGTTTTGTTTGTTTATTTCGATTATTTTGCTACAACTAACAACAAAACCGTAATAATAAGTTAGGCTTTACCGATTTTTGTTAGTTTGATCTTACCTTTTACTTTTAAATTTTTATTACCTGCTAATTATTATTGGTACCTGCCTGCGGGATTCGAACACCGGTGCATCGCTAGATACGAATGCACCGGACGTCTTATCCTTTAGGCCACGACGACTTCAAAATCAAAAAAAAATATGTTCAAAATCTAAAAACTATTATTGTTACATGTAAGCGACGATGCTACACGCTAGAAACTTTCCACGTATCGTCATCGGATGTTTGTATAATTACTTGCGAGTCTCGATGCCTTTAAAAGACGTCAGGGAATCGATTGAGCATCTTTCGCAAGTTCAAACAAGTTTCTACTAAGTTAAATTGGCTTCGAGAATATTTTGTGTGTCGAGTAGAATGCGAGGGGATGATCTTTATACGCTCGTAAAGACGAGTAATGAGGGAGTTCGTAGCGTTCACGTATGTCTCATTTAAAACTGAATAATGTTGCATTTAGATGTTTTTAGGGTAGGCTTCACCAACGGTATCCAGCAAAAGGATTGCTTTAGTGATTAGAGCGTTTGTTTATTCGTGTACAGCTTAGTAGAGTTCAAATCTCACAGACACATTCTAATTTTAGTTAGCAAATAAGATATTTGTGGATATATAGTGGAATACGATTGCAGTCTTTGTAAATTAACGCATCGCCGTGACCAAGGTGTGTTGTGATGCTGCAACTTCGCTCTACTATCCTACTTATTTCTGCTGCGAAGTAAGTTTGTTTTACACTAAAGCAAGCTAAACTAAAGCTAGCTAAGCACTAAGCTAAAAGGCAAAATATAATTTCAATGCAATCCACCCATCGATCTAATATCTCAACATGAGCAACTCTATCTCGTTCTGGTCTCTACAATTATTAAACTCTTCATTTGGTGAGTCGTGAGCTTTTTTTTTCGGACCACAGTCGTCCACTGCTGGTCATAGCTCTCTCACATCTTATCTGACCCCATTTAAGTGACAACAAATATTAACGTAAAAGTTTAATAAAAAAAAAAAAAAAATATATTCGGTTTCAACTAAATCAAATGAGAATTTCATCAATATAATCAAAATTAATTAAATGTAGTTTAAATAAAAATTTAGGATAGCATAAAAACACTGGTCAGATTATGAAAAGCTTTAATTAAGCTGACTACATTAGAAGCACAAGCTTTCAAGTAAATGAATCTCTAGAATCGGTTCATCTAGAAAAAAAGTTCTGAAGTAAAAATAATAATTGATATACTCGATGATGGTCTCTGATTTTTTTTGAAGCCGCCTAGAAACATGAATGAATTTTGCACGAAGCACCTCTATACTAATCTATACTAATATTATAAAGAGGAAAGATTTGTTTGTTTGTATTGAATAGGCTCCGAAACTATTCAACCGATTTGAAAAATTCTTTCACTGTTTTGAAGCCACACTATTCCCGAGTATCATAGGTCATAATCTTTTTTGAAAAAAATTAGGAATCCTTACTAAAACTCCAATAATGTAACCCAAGGTGTAAAAAAATTACCTAAAATATTCTTTACGCCGCGTGCCCTACGAAAACTATTGATGACTAGCTGACCCGGCAGACTTCGTAGTGCCTCAATCGATAAATAAAATACCTAAACTTTTGTATAAAATAAACATCAAGGGAAAAACAAAATTGTTATTTTTATTTAATTCCGAGCAATTTCATATTTTTTATTTTAAACCTTTTAAATCTTCTCTGGACTTCCACGAATAATTCAAGACCAAAATTAGCCAAATCGGTCCAACTCGTTCTCGAGTTTTAGCGAGACTAACGAACAGCAATTCATTTATATATATATATATATATATATATATATATATATATATATATATAGATAAAATAAAATAATGTACTACGACTTTGTAGACCGCATTATTATTTACAAAAAGTGTCACAACAGCAATGCAATAAGTGTTCTTTTATTTTTTAAAGTAAAACAACGTCAAATATCGTTGAAATTTTTGTTAAAGACCCGAGCGGAGCCGGAGCGGGCCGCTAGTAAACATATAAATTTTTATCTTAATCTGTAACGTGTTTTTCCCTTGAACTTTATTTTAGTATAGCGCGTGTTGCGAATGATTAAAATATCGATATTGGCAATTATTGAGAACACGCAACACACGTAGGCGTATTATCGAAAAGCGCTTCGCACTGAATCTTGTTTATAAATAGCCGATCTGTTCCGTGATAGGCGTCCTAAGATATCGCTACTTCAGATAATCAAAATAAAGACTTTTTTTTTATTGCTTAGATGGGTGGACGAGCTCACAGCCCACCTGGTGTTAAGTGGTTACTGAAGCCCATAGACATCTACAACGTAAATGCGCCACCCACCTCGAGATACAAGTTCTAAGATCTCAGTATAATTACAACGGCTGCCCTACCCTTCAGACCAAAACGCAGAACTTCACGGCAGAAATAGGCAGGGCGGTGGTACCTGCCCGCGTGGACTCACAAGGGGTCCTACCACCAGTATAATTTATTTCCATTTATTTCCGTTAATTCTGAGTATGAATTACCAAAAATAAAAGCGAGAAAATAATTGAGATATTGAGGTTCGGAAGAGGTTATCGGCTCAGCAATACCAAACAGTAACGAATCGAACGATTACAGCGATAGTCTTCCGTCAGCACCCTTCGTGTGTCGTATTCCTCAGTGCTGAGGGTCGTGACCTTTACGGAGCACTTTTGTTAGGACTAAGTTCCTCCGTTCACTCCTGTCTTCCGCGCAGTGGATAGCGACATGGATGCTAAATTCCAAAGTCTTAATCTGATTGGACCAGCGCATGGGACTACGCCCCTAGGCCTCTTTCCTTCCACTTTGCCGCAAGTGACGGGTTCGACGAGAACGATGACCGGGCTGAGCTCCAGTAACTACTTAACAGTACGTGCCGTGAGCTCTTCCACCTCTCTAAGTATTAAAAAAAAATGTTTTCAAGAACACGACTTGTAAGCTGATTAAGAAGTAAGTTGAAGTTTTTGGACGACTCTTCGCCTCTTCGTCGTCTCAGATTCGTAGGAGGTATTGTTGATTCTACAAAATCGAGGATCCAAACGAGTTGAAGTGCAAATGTTATTGTTGTTGAGGTTCTTCGAAAGTTTTCGGCGAGTTTCCCAACAAACAGGACCACCAAAATTATTCTCAAGGTTTTCTTCTTTTTCTTTTTTTGTTCCGAGCTCTTCCCTTGTTTTTGTGACATGGCTTTGTTTATTTGATTGCCGATTTTTTTTGTCAGTTAAATAATAGGTCAATGAACTCATCGTTCAATTCGAATTGTGAGGTTCCAGAATATGGAGGCTCAATTGTATAGTATCTCCGTTGTCGCACCCTTCAAGGCGAAAGCATGAGCGGATACATGAAATGCTTTGCGGCAGAAGCTCCTACCCATGCGAGCTTTCAATACGCCCTACATCAGTAAATCACGGTTGGCAGTAGCTATATACTGGTATTATAATCAAAGAACGTTGCGATCCATTCTCCTGTGAATCCTTAAGTTGTCTTTTGACCTTTGAGTAGAGCTTGATTGAATTAATAATTATAATTAATCTTACGCCGTTGAGCTAGTGTAGCTACGACGTAGATCGAGTTTTGCGAAAATTTTAATCTTTTGTATCTATAATTACTCGTCTACATTGAACTCGAAACAGGAAACACAAATACAAATAAAACTTTTGTTTGTGACCTTGAAAATTGTGCCAAAATTTGTTATGAAATTTCCTGGGATTTCATTTTGGGAAACATCAGAATGAGTGCGTGCTATGCTGATGCTCACTCTCACACGCCGTGTGTCATAATAGCAGAGATATTATCGAATATTATATAAATAATAACTAATAAAAACATTACTGGGAACAAAGCTCACACGGTCATTCGGCCCCCAAATTAGTATTCCGTGTGTTAAGGGTACCAGAGACTGACATACAACATACTTATATACGTTTAAAAATATACGTATATAGATAATAAACACCCAGACAAAGAGCAAACAAACCTATCTATCGTATGAATGTTTGCCTGATGTGGGAATCGAATCCACGACCCTCAGCGCACCTAAACCTAACAACTACAAGGAGTCAGTTGTATATTTCTTTATTTCGTAAGCACTGTCTCTTCGATTTGAGCAGATTATTATTTAGTCATTTTTCTGGGCACATCTAACATTATTATGTGGTTTTACAACAAAATATCTATCTATACATTAATACGTGAAGCAAAAACTTTTTATCCCTTTTTACGATAATTACGCGGACGGAGGAGTATGAAATTTCCCACACTCATAGAGAATATAGAGAAGAAGTGCAGAATGACAATTTTTTTAATTTTGCGATTATAATAAATTAAATCAATAAAAAAAAGCATTACACGCACTACCATACACTTAGTATTTGACACACACACGCATATATACATATTATTATACTCTTTTGTTCATTGTCAAACTTTTGTCTGTAGTCAAATTCGGAATAGATTCTTGTTTTTTGTCGTTAATATTATTTGTCTATAGCGTAGTCTTGGCGAAATCTGTGATTGTAGAAATATAATAGTAATTAAGAATAGAACCATAATAATGTTCAAACTTATAATCTCAATTAATTATAGTCGAATTTCGTCTACTGGGTGACCACTAGTATACATAAATGTGTTTCAAAACACAGTCGATGGAATATATTTAAGACGGAAAAAGGCCAGATAATGCTTTAAAAATTACCTTTGGCGTGTTAACCTCTCTGGTGGATATGCCCATTTTCTCGTGGTGCCGAAGCTGCACTGGATATATGATTTGATAGTAATGTGCACCGATGTTTCGCACCAGCTCCTGGTTCTGTCTGTACTCCCGTAGAAGCCGCTCCACTTCACCTGGAGACAAGAACATTTTATATTAACAACTAATATTATAGAGTTGAAGAGTTTGTTTGTTTGAACGCGCTAATCTCAGGAACTACTGGTCCGATTACAAAAATTCTCTTATATCTTAGTTCATAATATCTTAGTTGATTTTATTGTGAGTGATTCTGATGAACCTGTATGAGTTAAATGAAATAGTGATACACCTGAGGTTAAGCGACGACGTGAGTGCTATCATCTACAAATATATCAGATCTAATTCTCAATTTTAGCTTTTAGCAATTAGTTTTACCTTCGCCTTTTTAGAAATTATCTATGTTAAACCATTATCAGGTGTACCAAGAAAGGCGCTACGTAATGACCCTGTCTCTTGGATTCTAGACGCTACCAATATCGACGAATAAATCAAGTCACTCCAGTACGTTCCAAACACCCAGAACATACAGCTAAAAAAATGTCGTAAAATTAAAACTCTGATTAAAATATCACCCGAATATTCTCGAAGTATTAAAGGTGGCTGTGCCGCATCCAGGAATCCTATCAAAAGAAAAATCAATCAGCCGAAAGCAATAAGTCTTCCGTGAACCGCGACCGAGTTTAATCCGAGTTGGTGCTCTCGACCTAAATGAGTTTCAATCTAGCTCCCCCATTGTTGCTTTTAAGGCTATCGTAAAAACCGAGGTTTACGTCGGAATCGGTCAAGATTCCGAATTTACGACGTCAAAACGTTAAAGTTGCAAGTGCAATTTTGAAACGGTGCTTTATCTTGGGCTGGCTTAAGTTAAATATCGCGTTTGTTAACTGAGAGAAGAAATATGGCTGTCAGTTTTTGTATTTATTCTTTCCGCATATGTATAATGATATTTTGCGGGTCAGTGAATAGTTATTATGCTACTTTTCCTGCAGTAGATAAGAAGCGAGATAAGGTCCTTTTGATATTAAGCTCCTAACTGTGTGTATAGATAGCAAACTGTGAATGCCAGCCATAAAGCATGAGAAGCTCCACGTAATTCTCCTAGTGTTTTACATGACCTTTTTGAAACAAGGTCTAAAGAAAACTCTCGGCGGTAGGATTGCGGTAGCGGTAGTTCAGCTGTACCTCTGACATTTCGGGTTTTTATAAACGACGGTAACCTCTTAACATAATGAGCCGTTTTCTTGCCTGACTTTGTAAGCATTAAGCATTGCTTATTGCATTGTATTTAAAGAGAAGACTGAAACTAGCAATTGACCAAAAATATAGAATGAATGATTATCATGGCAAATGAATGAATTAGGTTATGGCATGATCATGTTCAATTAGGTTTTAAGTAGAAATCTCAGTGCTATCCCTCTCCTCTCATTGGGTCGCGTTTCCGATTCAATGGTAGATTCTGCGAAGCACTGCTTTTACTAGGGATAGTGTTAGCAACACTTTCCGGTTTGAACCCGGCAACATCGCCTACATGTTAGGGCAAAACTGAAATATCCTCTCAAGGCTATCAGCATCGGCAAAAAACCGTCCCCATCCAACTTTAAGAATGAGGTAAAAGTCCCAACTGAGTTGTATATCGGCTATTTCACCCTTCAAACTTCAAATGGGCAGTGTGGTGATACCTCGACCGGTGATGACTTAAATCATAAGACGTCCGGCGCATTCGTATGTAGCGATCCACCGGTGTTCGAATCCCGCCGACAGGTACCAATTTTTTCTAATGAAATACGTACATATTTATTGACTTTCACAGTGAAGGAATAACATCGTGTAATAAAAATCACAAAATTATAATTTGCGTAAATACTAATGGTAGGGCGTCTTATGAGTCCACACGGGTAGATACCACCGCCCTGGTTATTCCTGCTGTGAAGCAGTAATGCATTTCAGCTTGAAGGGCGGAACAGCCATGATACTGTTAAAATTGAGACCTCATAACTCAACTTAACGTATGTTAGAATAATCTGGATAAGCCGAAGCCCTAAATTTTACGATCTTGGCACCAAACAACCCTTTTTCAATGGACTAGAGCTTAAGACCTGAATAAAAGGGTTTATGGTTTTTCAATGACGTCAAGATGGCTTCTTTTGTTTGACCTCGATGGTTCCTATTGTGATAAATTTATGCTGGGCAGATATCAAATACTAGTGAGTTCGTCATTAACAATTAAAAATGTTCATCCCCACTGATTGGTAACACTGCCTCATTTACATTTGGGATGAAGCAATCACACTTTGACTAACAGCCCTTACACTCGTGAAATTGAGGTTTGACTCTATGACCCAAGATAGGCAGAAAAGTTTAAATGTAGTTTTTTTTGTGATCTTAGCCAATTAACATCATTATAGCGCGAATATCGCCGACTATCTTATGATATGACGTCGAACTTTCAATTAAACATTAATGAAAGTTAATGATGCAGCTTTGTAACCGAGAATAGGAGGATGGTAGTGTCTATCCGGGTAAGCTGCCAATACTACTGGAACTTTAAGCTCTAAGTATCATTTATGACTTGTTAACCCATGAGGTCATTGTGAACAACCCATAACGCAATTAGTTGCTATATTAGAATAAGTGTAATAATAGTAATAAGTGTAGTCGTCGTGGCCTAATGGATAAGACGTCTGGTGCATAAGTGTTGAGGCGATGCACCGATGTTCGAATCTCAGGCGGGTACCAATTTTTCTAATGAAATACGTACTCAACAATTGTTCACGATTGACTTCCACGGTGAAGGAATAACATCGTGTAATAAAAATCAAACCCGCAAAATTATAATTTGCGTAATTACTGGTGGTAGGNCGATGCACCGATGTTCGAATCTCAGGCGGGTACCAATTTTTCTAATGAAATACGTACTCAACAATTGTTCACGATTGACTTCCACGGTGAAGGAATAACATCGTGTAATAAAAATCAAACCCGCAAAATTATAATTTGCGTAATTACTGGTGGTAGGACCTCTTGTGAGTCCGCACGGGTAGGTACCACCACCCTGCCTCTTTCTGCCGTGAAGCAGTAATGCGTTTCGATTTGAAGGGTGGGGCAGCCGTTGTAACTATACTTGAGACCTTACAACTTATATCTCAAGGTGGGTGGCGCATTTACGTTGTAGATGTCTATGGGCTCCAGTAACCACTTAACATCAGGTGGGCTGTGAGCTCGTCCAATCACCTAAGCAATAAAAAAATTAAAAAAATATATATTAGAATAACCATTTCAACTCACAAACTACCCTTTGCACCGCAGTTACCTGACAGAAATAGGAAGTTGCATTTAGTCAATCTGACAACACTACCAGTTCCATTATCTTGTACCACACGATCGAAGACTACAAAGCCAGGAGCGCTGTACAAAACATCTCAAGTTTCGGAATGCTTGTCGCTTTCAATATCAGCGTCTTGTCGTCATGTCATCGTGCTAATTAATCTAGCGGTACACGTGTCGAGTAATTAATTAAGAATACGTTTGACTGACAGTTCCGGGACGAGATATACAAGGACCGGATATTCCGTGTCGCGCTTCATTCACTGAATCAGTGTAACTTCAATAAATAGAATGATTGCGATAGATTGTTCAGGACCTTTGGGTCTACGCATGGATATGCATTGGTCTTTGGCTTTTCTCGATGTGTCTCATACGTTGCCAGGGCGCGAAGTCTTTGACAAAATATTTTAAATTATTCCATAATTTTCGTCTATTGAAATCGTTCTATATTATTTTAAATGTAAATCAAACGATTGTAAATTGATTAGATTGTATTCTTCTACCCACTCATTTAAAGCTTTCCTTCGTTAAGAACGGTTAGCTGGTAGAAAACTCAATTGTTGAGTTAAGCACGCCATTTTTTATATCTTACGCAATTACTGTAATATTAACTGTTTGTACAATAAAGAATAAAGAAATCTCTTTTGATGGGTATGGGATGGTATATTTTATAACTTTTTAAATATGTTTTAAAAATATTTTATTTTCTACCGTTTATAGGTTTCTCTCTAATAAATTCATATACTTCTTACAATCCAACCGCCATCGCAACCGCACGGGAAGCGATCCATAGTGCGTTTCTAGAAATATAATTCCTTCAGATGTGGAGTGATGACCAATGTCGCAGAGACGTATTTTTCTTACCAAATTTTGAAAAGAATTTCCCGTAGACTAGCGTTTCCCTTGACACTAATTGTAATGGTAATCTTTAATTTTAAGATACACTTGATCGTCTGGTTTAAAATGTAGAAGCCGTCGTGGCCTAAAGGATAAGTTTTCTAATGAAATACGTACTCAACAAATGTTCACGATTGACTTCCACGGTGAAGAATTAACATCGTGTAATAAAAGTTTAACCTGAAAATTATAATTTGCGTAATTACTGGTGGTAGGACCTCTTGTCAGTCCGTTTGGGTAGGTACCACCATCCTGCCTATTTCTGCCGTGAAGCAGTAATGCGTTTCGGTTTGAAGGGTGGGGCAGCCGTTGTAACTATACTAGAGACCTTCGAATTGATATCTCAAGGGGGGTGGCGCATTTACGTTGTAGATGTCTATGGGCTCCAGTGACCACTAAACACCAGGTGGGCTGTGAGCTCGTCCACTCATCTAAGTAATAAAAAAAATCTACTTTGAAATGTCTGCGTTCGACAAACTACATATATTATTAATATTACAATTACATTTTATGGTTTCTCATAAAAATAACTATATTTTATTTCATGTTTAAAAGGACTTTGACCGTTTTATCGCACGCTTACTATTTTCAATTTATTATTTGCAACGTTTCGAACTCCTTACAGTTTACGTGGTCACTGATGACTAAGGTATTGTTGGTCGATATTTGAGTATTGTGCAAATCACCGTCCATTATCCTATAAACAATATTCCTTGACTTTGTTTTTTTTTATTGCTTAGATGAGTGGACGAGTTCTCACAGCCCACTTGGTGTTAAGTGGTTACTGGAGCCCATATACATCTACAACGTAAACGTCTTATACGAGGAAAGTACTACTTTTAATTTCGTTTTAATCATGTTTTTGTTGCTAAAA